TTATACTAAAATTTATTTCTCTGCCAATTCCATAAATTACTGGTTAATTAAGTACATTTCATTTTCAACTTAAAATTAAAAAGTTAAATTCTTACCTTGAGATGACTAATATTGTGTTCCAAGTGTTACTCTATCATCAATGTGAAATATTACTTCCACTTTTGAGGTCTTAATCCTTTCCTTTAAAACACTACAAATTCCCAAACTTACCTCTGATACCACATTTAGTTTACACATTCAATACCATCCCTGACAACAAGTTCTATTTCTAATCTTACCCTCAAAACCATCAGAAAATACTGTATATCCTAAATCAAATACATCTAATATTGTTAGACAGTTATCCTTAAACTTTGTCCTAGAATTCTTTTACAAAGTTGTACCCTTTTTAGCACATCTTCTGATGCTAGTAGCAAATGTTTAATGATGTAAAAGTCTTTCCATCTTTTCTGTTCAGGTATTTCTTAATATTGTCACTTCTGATACTTATGTATAAATTTCTATTATCTTTCCCCTTTCTAACCACACTTCTGACACTAATACAAAAACCTTCTCTTCCAGCTTTATTCTAGATATTATATAGTATAATTATTTCACTCAAACAATATTATACAAATATTCACTTCCAATATAAACTTAAACACTGTTGTACAAATGTTCCCTTCTCTTAATTCACTTTTGACTTTTTTTTTATACAAATCTTCTTTTCTAACTAAAATCCCTTAATGCTATTATCAATAACTTCTGATCAAATGAAGCTGCCTCCCTAGGTCAGAACTAAAAATTAATCCAGCAGATAATGTCACTAATTTAATATATAGATCTAACTAAGAGTATACAAAACTAAAAAAAACAGAACAATCCTAAATCCTACTTTAAAAATATATTTCTCTTTCTTATGTAACTCATGACACTAGTATACACATTTTTAATTCTATCTTTACTATTGGCACTTCTATACAAATAACCCCCTTACCTACTCTCTATCAGAAGAATATCCTGTAATGCAGATGGTTGTGTTTTTCGATAAAAAAAATTAATTTTGCCTTTTTTAAAAAATTAAAACAAAGTATTGTCAGTGTAAAGAAAAAGAACTTACAGTGTTAGAAATATGGTTTAAAATATGGACCGAAACTGTGATGGTATTAAATTTAAGAAGCGTATAGCAGTATGAATGGTAATATAAATATAGACTATTGCAAAGCTGTGGCAAAGTATATGGAAAGACATGTACAGCAGTATGAATGGTAAAATAAGAAGTAAAGACTTTTATATAGCAGGTTAATTATAAAGGCTTGTACAGTGGTGTCAAAAATAAAGTGTAAAGACAAGTACAGCAGTGTCAGTAGTAAAGTGTAAACATGATGCTTGTTTTTACATAAGTGGCTGTGGAGTCAAGATTTATAGAGCAATGTTAGTGATCTAAACAGAGTATAAACTTTTGTAGAGAAGTATCAGTATAGCAACGTCAGTGGTAAAATAAGCAGAAAGTACTTATATAGCAACGTCAGTGGTAAAATAGACAGCAAATACTTAAAGCACTTATATAGCAACGTCAGTGGTAAAATAAGCAGAAAGTACTTACTGCTTATTTTACCACTGACGTTGCTGTATAAGTACTTTCTGCTTATTTTACCACTAACGTTGCTATATAAGTACTTTCTGCTTATTTTACCACTGACGTTGCTATATAAGTACTTACTGCTTATTTTACCACTGACGTTGCTATATAAGTGCTTTCTGCTTATTTTACCACTGACGTTGCTATATAAGTACTTTCTGCTTATTTTACCACTGACGTTGCTATATAAGTACTTTCTGCTTATTTTACCACTGAAATTTGCTATACAGGTCTTTTCTATTTACTTTACCATTTATGTTGCTATACAAAAGCATTTTCTGTTTACTCCATTGCTGTAAAAAAGGTATTCCTCTGTAATTTATTACTTACTGACAAAAATGTTTATTTTCAGTTTTACCACTGACTTTGCTGTAGAGGTTTCTTTCTTAATGTTATGGAAATTTCTCACCTTCTATCTTTATAATTGTGCAATAACACAAAAGTCATGTTTTTTAACTTATCTCTAACACGTCTAAACACTAGTATCTTTTTTTAAATTTCATCCCCAACACATCTATATGAACCATCGAGTTTAATTATTAATAAGATTTTCCAAGCAAATGTAGAGAAGATTGTTTAGTTTATCTCAATCACACTATATCTCCTATACCCAGTGCTGCTGCGGCCTTTCACCCAATATCAATACCATAACACTACTGTCAAAAAGTTTTGATTTTTCACTTCTTTAACTAAAGTACAAAAATTCCTATTGTAATCTCTTTCTAGCATTCAAGAAGTATCTTTCTGTTGCCTTTCCTTTGTCAGATTTCTTGATTCCTAAGTTAAGCTTTCATAGTTTTTAATGAGTGTCTGTAACCAAACCTGCCCTAGTTATATATGACATGCAAATAATTTGGAATATTTCTCATGTGACTTATTCTTTCAGAAGAAAATATATATGCTAGAATTTTATTATACTAGATACTCTTACTTCAAAATTTAAAAATAACATGTTCTGGCTACACTGTTTAAAATACTTGAGAAAAATTAACGTATGAGGATCCACTCAAGATTTTTCTTCTCATTTTAATAATTTCAAGATAAAAATATTTTGTGAATCCAGAGTAAGTTCATTTATTTTAGTTATACCCAACATTTTTTAAATAGTCTCTAACTATAAGAAACACACTCTTACTTATCAGTCAAATGCCATGACCTATCAAACACAAAATATCCATTTACCTTTCTTTTAAGTAATCAGACATTAATAAGTTCTCTTACTACACTTTGTATGATAGCTTATTTTCCTCACTACTTGCTTGATAAAGCAAAATAATACATACATTCCTGCGTTTGACTTTATCATTTATTTTCTATCTATCTTTATCTATTTATCCCTATTTTTTCTCATCTTGCTAATTCTGTAGTGGGATAAAAGTTATAATATCAAGTTAACAAAATGAAATATTACAACAGTTACCAATATATACAAATAAAAGAAATGTATCTTTCAGTTAGTTTGTATATAAAAAAATCACAAACCTCTTCAGTTACGAGAAAAACTTTCTAAGAGATCTAATACAGAACAGAAATTAATTTCTTGCTTCAAACTTACATAATGATATATTAGTCACAATTATTTCACTTAAAGATACTATTTAGATAACAGTTCAAGATAACTCTAGCTACTAAACTCAACCTATTGTAACTCAGATTGTGTCAGTTTACTGAAAGAGTATCACAGCAGTAGGTGTAACATAACTAGTTAAACACATTATTGAATATTATGGATACATTTTTATCTCACACATCTTTTGTTTGTAGAATTACACCAAAGATGACAAGCTTTATATATATATATAAGATTAATGTTAAAAGCACAAATTATTCATTATCTACACAGCTAAATTATTAATTTCACACAAATTTGTGTGTATATATATATATATATATATATAATACTGGTATAATGTTATGTATAAGTAAGGTATTACTCCTGTACAGTTATGTGCCTGTGTATTAGGTACCTTCACACAGTCAAAATAATCTACAGAATCACCCACAAACCATTTACTGATCATAATCAATAACATGCACTCAATGAACCATGCAGACAGTAATTATTTGTGTGTGTTTTTCACACATTTTTCTCAATTTGTTTTCTCAGGTCTTCCATTTGGGTTTGATAACTGATGCATACCACATACAAAAGGAACCTATTATAACTATTATAAATGATTTTTGATTACATACAAGTGCAACTAAAACAACACACACAACCATTCAAATATTTACTCAGTGAGTTACTTCTACACAGAAAATCTCCTCCTATCATTAATTGGATTATCTACCCGTGAGACACAAGTTAGGCTAAAGGTTACGAAGATATGTGAGAAAGATAGTTAAAATCTTTGTTCATAGCATAAAAAAGATTGTCTCTTAGTGATAGCTACCGCAGAACAAATTAATATTTAAACAGTTAATTCATGTTTGAAGGTTCTTGTGGGAAGACATGTGAAAAAGTATGCAAAATGTAGATTGAAATATAGCTGCTTTTGAGAGATGCAAAATATACTATAAATACATAAATGTAAGAGCAAACTCAGTATAGCAAACTACATTAATGTCATAATGAATTAATCTACAAACATTAATAGTAAAGACAACTTTACTGTTTGTTAGAACAGTATCTAAGACGAACAAACATACTATAAAACACAAATTCCTGTGTTAAAAAAACAAACAAACAAACAAACAAGTAAAGTGCTTTGCATGAATACAATACATTAAAGATAAATATTTATAATCCTGTGGGTTATGATCCCAGCAGGCGAGATCTACATCTGCCAATTTTATCTATCTCTTCCATCAATTATGTGGTGGTAAGAGAGCACCTTTCTGTTACCTGCATATCTTATTAATCTTCTAAAATTCCATAAACAGTAACAAATCTGTGAACCATTAGTTTTTAACATAATGTAAATCATTTGTATCCTTCAGCTTCATTCCTTCTGTTAGTCACATTTAAATTATTGTTGTTCTGTGTCTCATATCACACAACCACAGTTAGTCACAGACCATACTTGAATCACCCAGTTAGTACAGCAGTTAGTTCAGAGCCACAGAACCGACTATATACTTGTCTCATGCAGTTTGCTTGGTTCTGTCAGAAGGTTGTAGCCTTGTGCAAGTGGACTAGTAGCATTCAGGTCTGTTCTGTAAGTGTGGGAGAAAGGTGAGGAGGAAGAAGTTACAAAGGTGACACAAGTGGTTGCTGGTGAAACTGGGGAATTTCCTTGCTGGCTGGGGAGAAACAGCAGTGGAGAGCTGCCTACAGTATCTGGAGGACTCCTAGGAAGAAGGTGTGCGTGATTTTCGCTGGATGGCGGAGTCAGTGACTTGAGGGAGTTGTGAGCTCTGTTTAGGTTTTTACTCTTACCTGCTGAAGTAGCAGGAATGGAATTTTTTTTTTCTGAGGACCACTCTGTTCATATGGAAATTCATTAGTTGAGGACATTCGCATCTCTTCATCAATAAAACATATATCTGAAAAAGGTCGAGTACCCGGATGGCTACGTGAGCTACGCAAACTGTGTAAACTATGTACACTACGTTTTTCTTCCATATCTTCCAGTGTGCTCTTAAAGGCCTTGATAACTCGAAGCTGTGAAAGGAAAAAAAGTGAAAATACACACAGACCGCATAGACCATGTTAGAACAATAAGGGGTCAATCCTAATCAGACACTACAATTCTTCAAACAAGTTACATTAGTAGCTAACTAAATCTGTTGCAAACTTTGCATTCACAAGTTTCATTACACTAACTAAAAACAATAATTCTGAAGCTGAAATTGTAAAGATTTTCTCATTAATTAACACATGCTAATTTCATCATGCGAAAAAGCAAACCAGGTTAAGTAGTTGTCTGAAGCTGTTACCATGAAGGTCAAATATTAAGAACAAAAAATATTTGTCACTCGGTAGCATTTATAATTTGCTATAAATTTACTCACAAATCAAACTAAGTATAATTTTAAGTGATATATATCAGATTTAATGGAGAAAACTTGGTTTTGACCATGAGCCCTACCAGCACTCTAGCATAACACACCCCTAAAAGTATCATGAAACCATCTCAAATGCACAGTTAGTATAAAGAAGAATAAAATGTACTTTGGCTTTGAAACTGTTTAAACAGAAGTATTGTGTGACAGAGAATGTTCAATAAGCTGCCATAGTTGTCTAAAGTTTCTCCTTTTTTTTTTTCAACAGACAGAGAAGCATGGAGCATTTTCTCTTTAATGCATCTATAATATAGCATTGTATTTGACTCCAAAATATCTCACCTACAAAAAAACAACAAATAGTTGAAGACAAAGTGAAGCTCTGAACTTATGTTGCAGTAATGTGTTTTACACCTAGATTTGGAGATAGGAGTATGTCAACATTCTGAAAAGACTGAAAGTGGTTTATAACAAGAGGGGTATATACATAATCTTGATAAAAATAGTTTATGATTAATACAATGGCAATATTAAACATAAAAACAATTCAGACAGACCTGAAATAGTAATTATTATGGCACATGTAAGTATTTTTTGTAAAATAACCTACTGACAAAGTCTGCATCACAAGAATGAATATAAGCATCAATAATGGACAATAAAATAATATGCTCAGTTAATTAATGTATTATTATAACAAAAACGATTAGCAATATTGAATATTAACCTATGCATGGAACAGAACATGAATAGGACAAAACAAGTATAATACTAGAGAATGGGATAATATAGACAGGAATAGAGCATAATTATGTAGGATAAAACAGATTATGATATTGGACTATAAGGTAATCTAGTTAGGAACAGTGCAGGATTAGGACAAAAAAGGTAATATGGATTATACTATAATTTAGTCAGGATTATGATAAAACAAAAGGCAATATTAAATTATAAGCCAATCTAAACAGGAATAGTGCATGATAAGATAAAAAAAATGGCAAATTGGGTTATAAGATAATCTAGTCAGGAACACGCTATGATTATGATAAAACAAAAGGCAATATTGGACTATAAGATAATCTAGTCTAATCTAATCTAATTATGGCACATGACTAGGAAAACACCAGTGGCAATATTGAATGATTAGATAATCTAGAAAGAAAAAGTGTATGACTATGATAGCACAATTTCACAATTTGATATTTTCAAAAATTAATATTTAGAGGTGTAGAACACAAATGTACTTAATGATAACATCATCTTTATATATTTATATAACAACTTAATACCTATAAAGACAGTAACACAATTCAGTCGAACTTGTCTGATGACATAAAAACAAAAATATATAGCTGGACACAGAGAGTAATGCAAAACACATAAGAACAGATGATATAAGAATAGCCCACTATAGCATAACATGTTTGAAGAGAGCAGAGTATCCACAATAAATGGTGTTGCTGAATTGTTAATATTTAACTTGTAGGTATCACGTATATCATATTTTGCATATAAAACTAAGGAAAACCTAATTATTGGTTGTATCTCTGAGTGCTGAAAATTATAATTAGGCAACTATAGAAATATTTAATGACTTATCATTTCTCATATTACAACAGTTTTAAAATTATCAATCACACAAAATACTTCAGCACATATCAACACTATACTGTACTAAATCTCAATATGTTTCACAAATAAAGAATTTTACACAACAAACACCATCAGTTTGTTGGTGTTACCTTCAACAGTTTTGACTGAAAAAAAAAAAATAACCTGACTATTTTTTATACTCATTCCTAATTGCAATGAGAATGTTTCAAAAGATAAAAATGATGAAACATTTTTCATAGCTCCAGCAAGCCATATAAGAACAAGATTTGTACCCCTAAAAAGCCAGGAGTTTGGGCTAAAGGGTTTTGGATGTTCTCAGGTATATTCTTGGCTATTTCTTGTACTTTTGAAGTGTTATTTTAATTGTAATTTGTAACCAAAAAATGGTCAAAGTACCTTATAGGATTTAACTGACAAAAGTCACATGTGGTTTTTTTGGATGGATGAACTTTTCAGATGTGCTTACCAAGCATGCAACCAATAGTCTCCTTCCCTTGAAAATTCACCTTCACAATGACACTCCTCTCCAGCTAGTTCCAATCCAATTTGTTTTTCAGTCCTTTATCTATTTCTTCAATAATGTTTTGCTACCCCTTTCTGAATTGTTTTCGCTATTCTTGCCTATTCAAAAGAGCCTAACAGTGCAGCCATTTCACTTTCAGACATAGTGCTTCAAAAATGTGTAGTTATATCTGATTCTTTAGTTTCTCACCAATTGGCATATTTTGTCCAATTGAGTAATAACTTATGAAACATTGTTGGGAATTCCATTTTCAGGTAGATTTCATGGATAAATAGTAATACCAGATTGCAAACTAGGTATCCAACCATTCTAAAATCTCAAGAATGACCCAAACCAACTGAATGACATGGAAATTTGTGAATTTATGGAAAAATACTCACCCCTGTTCTAAGAATTAGACTCAATCTAGGAAAATAAAATAAATTATCAAGGCTAAGTGGAAGCAAAAGATGTTGATTATGTCAAATGCAAGAGAGTTATGTATTATTTTGCAATGATTACAGAGAGTAAACATAAGTTTTATACAATTATTACTTATGAACATTTATGGAGGACAAACATTTTAGGTAGACATTTGGCAGAAGAAAAGTTACAAGTTATTCATCAATGTATAAAGAGATCCCTTCATAACTACAACATACCTTTTTCAAGGTCTGGTATGTTGTCTATATGAATCCTATAATAATGTAACAGAAACACTGACTTACCTGAAACTACTTTGTCACCCTCTGCCCCTGGATTGTAGGTTGTTTCTTCATAAGTTACATACTCACCATTTATGTTGTACATTAATTGACTGTTGCTTTACTATGCAAGTGCTTAATTAGGTGATTTTATTTCACAGATAAGCAGGGATAATGATTTTAATCAGTGTTAGGTTAACAACACTCCAAGTACAAGCAATTAATACTGGCTACTCCAGCTAGCACAACAGTCACTTCAATGCCATCTCTGACAGTGCATATTGCAATCAGCAAGCAACAGTCATATCAACAATGCTCACTGTAATCAACATAAAACAGTCATCCCTAATAGTGTATACTGCAGTTAGTATATAAAAAAGTTATGTGTAACAATGTCCACTGTAATAAACATAAAACAGTTATAACAAACACTGTTCACTGTAGTAAAGAGAAAGCAGTCATAATCTCTAAAAGTGCGTACTGCAGTCAGGATGCAAAAGTCATTCAAAAAATTCCATTGTACATTTTTTACGTTATCTAATACTGATAGGAGTATTATAATACACAAACTTATTAATAAAGGAAATTACTATGATTCTTTTAAAGGCATTTTATTTGTTCAACATTTCAACTTTGAATCTTCATAAGAGCATACATTTTCTATAATGAACATCAGTTATCTTTTAACAATGCAGATTACAGTCAGCAATCAGTATACAGCAGTTACCTCAAACACTGCCCGCTACAGTCACCTCTACTAGCGTCTACTTTAGACAGCATACAGCAATCACCTCTAACAGTACTTATTTCACTCAGTATAAGTACACAGGTCACATCCAACAAAGATGACATTAAGCATTCAGGTTAGTCATTAAACACCCCTGTCAGAATGTAGTAATCATATCATAACAGTAGCCATTGCAGCTAAAATGCAGAAACCAGTGACAACAGATATGGTATTACTGCAGGAATTTAGTAATTAATAACAGTACTAACCAATCTGACTAGCATGCAGCACACAAATTATAAGTGTAAATCAGTTAATGCAAATAGAGGATGTTTCAATCAGCAAATAGCAGTTAATTAACAGTGATCACTCCATTAACATATCAATGTTAATGCTACTAAACATCTCTACTATTGAAACAGAAACCATTGCTACAATGAACAGTGCAGTAGACAAACAAAAATTAAGGATAACAGTAACCACATCACATGTTCATCACATCTAACAGTAGCTAGATCATGATATAACTAATAACTTAATCATAACTGGTCAACATACAGCTATGGCTAGTAACCTAATCATAAATTGTCTTCTTTTCAGTATACAGCTATAGCTAATAACTTAATCATAACTGGTCAGCTTGTCAATATACAGTTATAGCTAGTAACCTAATCATAACTGGTCAGCTTGTCAATATACAGCTATATTTAATAATCTAATCATAAATGGTCTTCTTGTCAAATTACAGCTATAGCTAATAACCTAATAATATCTGGTCATCTTGTCAATATACAGCTATAGCTGGAAACCTACTCATAACTGGTCTTCTTGTCAACATACAGCTATATCTAGTAACCTAATCATAACTGGTCTTCTTGTCAACATACAGCTACAGCTAGTAACCTAATCATAACTGGTCTTCTTGTGAACATACAGCTACAGCTAGTAACCTAATCATAACTGGTCTTCTTGTTAATGTACAGCTATAGCTAGTAACCTAATCATAATTGGTCTTCTTGTCAACATACAGCTATGGCTAATAACCTAATAATAACTGGTCATTTTGTCAATATACAGCTATAGCTATGTTCATAGTGTTAGAAAAACTCGTA